CTTCATAACTGTAATTTTGCTACTGTTATGAATGAGGAGACCCCTGTGAAAGGGGTCCCACAAGTTGAGAACTGCTGCTTTAGGGAGCATTACCCTTGAGTTAGGTTTTCTTAAAATGGACTTGATAATAATTAAACACACACATGCATGTATTCTTCCCTTACATTACTACACGTAATTAGTTAATTTTTTCCGTGGATGTGTGGCAGTTGAGAATGACTTCACATTCAGGTGACCTGTTAGAAAGTGTAATAACTCAAGAAGCTAAAGATACAAGTTCAAGTTTGGGCCTGGGTCACACCTGGTAGACCCAGGTCTCTGCAAGTAGAAAACGAGTGGGTTATTAGGGGATTTCAGCTGTCCCTCAATACTCAAGGATGCGAAACTAGAACACAGGAACATAAAGGACAGATGATGAGATATGCTTCCCAATGTTCTGGAAGGAGAAGCGCTAAGTCTTTGAGACAAATGTGACCAGAAAGGAACGAGAGAGGGAGAGACCGAAAATCTCCAGGAGTGCCCTAAAGAGCAGATTGAGAACCAAGGTAAGGCTCTGGTTTGGGACGCTACTGGGGTTCATAGTGTAAAGAAGGAGTGGAAGCAGGAAAGAGGAACAAAGCATATGTTGGCAGAGCACAATCCGGAGCAGAAGAACGAGCCCTGAAGGAGAGTGCCATAGGATAATTACAACTATTACTGTCATTATGACAGCTAATAGTTCTTAAGTGATTTCTATGTGGCTGTGATAGTTGGGTTTTGTGTCAGTTTGATGAGGCCAAGGTGTGCAATTCTCCCATGATGCAATCTAACACAGTGTGGATGGGATCTTCTGTGAAGAAGCCAAGTGGTTGTGGGAAGACTAGGGTAGAGTGTCAGCTTCTTAATCTGACCACACTCCTGATACAGTTGAGGGAAGTTTCTTGAGGGTTGTGGCCTACTCAGTACAGATGGACACTGTGGAGAAGCAAGCTCACTTCTTCTGCTGGATCTGGTTCATCAATCTCCTGTCATGTTGTCTGCCGATCCCAGGAGCCATCAGCAGACTACTGACCTTGGATTTACCAGCCTGTGGTCTTCCTGATTCATCTTCCTGCTCCCTGGCTTGTTGGTCCCCAAAGCTACACAAGTCCGGAGAGGTCTCCAGCTTACCATCTGACCTACAGGCTTGAACCAGACT